CTTAAACTTGATGTTTCAGTTTGCATGCTTTGTTATTTCGACTTTTAGGGTAGAATTTTTTATTTTTTGAGTTTTGTTACAATTTGAGAAAATTAGCCTCTGCTTTGTGTTCATGGCCTTTATTTTTGGTTAACTTTTGAGTTTTGTTACAGATTGATTTTTATTTTTTCCTTCAGTTGTCTTCACTTTTGTTAAAGCTTTGTTTGTTTGGTTTATTGTAGAAAATGCGTTCAAAAATACCTGCTTCTAAAAGCAAAATGAAGGTTGCTGGAAAATGCGTTAAGTTAGATTATGTGAAAAGATTGACAGAGTTGCCCTCAACTCCTGATTCTGAATCTAATGTAAATGTCCAGGCGCCAGATGGTGATGATTTTGAGTCTCCTGCTCCTCCTAAAAACTCGCAACAAGAGAGCAGTCGGATGACTCGTCCGCAAGCGAGAAATACTCCCTCTCTAGTTAAATCATCGAGGGACTTGCCCTCACCCCCTTCTTCTGAAGCGAATACGCATGTCCAGGCTCCCGATGATGATGATTTTGAGTCTCCTCCTCCTCCAAAAAAGTTGCATCAAGGGAGCAGTCGAATGACTCGTTCGCAAACAAGTAATACTCCTACTCCTGTTAACATCGTTAGAATAAGGAGTAAGAAATGTGAGAGACCTGAAAAATTAAAAGAAAAGCTGAAAGTTGATTTGGTTAATGAAGATGATGTAGTCCGCAATGTTAAACCGAAAAGGAGAAAGATCAAGGACGATAGTGAGAGTGGCCTTGATTCCATATCGAAAGAACAAAGGTTTGCTATTCGCTGCAAATTGAATGGGAGAAAAGCAAAGTTGAAGGTATTCCCTGTGTTGCTATTAATTTATACATGCTTATACAATTTTATATAAAGTTATACAGCTGTTTATACATCTTTATACAAGTACTGCTATACTTAATTATATATTTTTATAAAATATTTTAGTATAGTTTTTTTTCCTGATCTATTTCTTGTTATTTTTCCATATGCAAGGTTGGGGACTTCTATATACAACCAGTTGATTATTTCCACAACAGGATTAGTTCCCATACCGAGACTGAGATTGTGAGCATTTTGAAGCAATGTTTGACTGACACGCAGCTTCAAATGTTCCGTGCTAGTTGTTTTGGGTACTTCTTGGACCTCCCTTAATTTAAAATTCAAAATCAACTTATTCATTGTATATTATTGAGGAAAGTCGTCCCAGGACGTTAAAGGGAGTTGTGGGAGAAAATTAATGGTTGTTTGCTACGTTTTGGCATTGGAGAGTTTGCTGTTATCACTGGTTTGAAGTGTGTAGAAAACGACGCCACTTTCTATGACAAACCAGATGTTAATAGGTTGCTAAAAGAGTATTTTCAAGGAGATGGAAAAAGGCTATAACGAGGGGGCAGCTTCTTGATCGCTTTAAGAAAAAGGACTGGAAGTCGGACGAAGATGCGTTCAAGATGGTCTTGATGGTGTTTGTCCATCATCATATTCTCAGATGCCAATAATCATGGTATCAACAAAGATGATTTTGATATCATTGAAAGTGGTCAATACCAGACGTATGCTTGGGGAAAAAAGTCATTTGAAGATATTTTAAGGATAATGAGGGACAGACAGTGTAACTATTTGACAATGTATAGGCTTGGAGGTTTGCCACTTGCATTACAAATATGGTTTTTTGAGTGTTGCTCTATGGTTGACAAGCATCTAGCTGTTCGTGTTGGCACAAATGTGTCGCGCATTCTTAATTGGAAAGTGCCTGAAACTCCAACATATGCGGATTTGACTAGCGGGGTGATCATGTGTAGTATCGACAAGGTAAACATTTTGTACCATAATACTTCTTCATATATGATTTCAGTTTTTCTGTATGTATATTTATGAATATGTCACAATTTTCTTTTTCTACTATTGTAATCCAGTTTTTCTTCTTGTAGTTGAACTATAGGAACATTTCCGCTACTCGTGAAGAGATGTCAACTCTGAACATTGACACGCTTTTTGAAGTTAATGTCGATGATGTTGCATCAGGGGAGGTGCCTGTGGTGCCTGCCTTTCACACTGATGATTCTGTCGCTGCATCTCCACCTTGTCCTCAGAATATGGAGCAACAGTCTAAACGATTTTATCCTCAGAATACGGAGCAACAGTCTGAACGACCTTTTCCTCAGAATATGGATCGACAGCCTAACCCGAGTTATGATCCTTTGGTGCACATTGATCTGTTGAATGCTGAAGTTGAGAAGTTGAGGAGTGTTGTTGGAAAGGTATTGGACCTTTAGCTTTTCTGTAGTTTATCAGTACTTTTTGTATATACATGGTTTTTTGGTTATAAACATGGTTGTTGATTTGTTTTTTTTTTTTTTTTGTAGTTGACTGATACAGTGACGACACTCAACAATTATGTAGTTTCTTCCTTTGAAAAAGTGTTCAGTTTTCTGAATATGAAGGAAACCAAGCAAACGAGGGAGGATTTTACTGATTCTAAGGTAATTGTTTACTGATAAAACCAAATCACTCAACAGTTATGCATTCTCTGAATTCATCACTCAACATGCCTTCTCTTTCTATTGTTTTTTATTAGATTCATCAGCGCGTGTCTGATGAAATACATCTGGTCTTGGCAAATTTGATGGCTATCAATATGATGTTGTTCCTGACTTTGTCAATCAAGTGAATCAAGATAACGTGCTAGCTGACGAGGGAGTTACTGATGGTGTTGATAATGGTATTTGTTCTGCATTTTATCTTTTTTTTTTGTCTGATTTTTATTTTCTTCATTTTAAAGTGTTTTATTATTTGTTTTCTCTGTCTAAGGGGCAGCAGGTGATGTCAAGGGTGACACATTTTGGGATGACACTAGCGATGAAGATTTAGCTGCGCTACAGATGTCCCAAATTGTTCTTCACAAATAATCCATCATAGACGTAGAAGATGATTACATTTCTCTTGAACAGTCAGTTCGACAGAAAATACCAGGAAAATATGCCAAATCTCCATATTTGCCAGTTTTTGATTCGGGGGCATCAGGATCGGCGCCCAAGCTCATTTTTGATATCAAGCATCCTTTCACGATTGAAATTGATGATTTTGATCCATTGTCGCCATTGGCTAAAGAGTTTTGCGCGTTTGTTGATAATAGGATGGATACGAGGCGAAGGTATCTTCACTTTCTTTAATCTTTCATGTTCTGATTTTATAATACTTGTCAATGAATGTAGTTCTGATTATTTTTTATTTTTTGTGATTTGAAGTGCCAAAAATATATATCCCGATGAAGTAAATAATCTTGCGGAAGCTTTTACTTTTGGCTCGTGTAATGTGACCACGAAGGATTGGTTCCACTCACTTGCATATTGTGGTCGACCTTTGATTGATACGGTATTTAATAAATTTCTGTTCTAATGCCCTTTTTTTATTTGTTGCATATCTTTATTGTTTGAGACCCCCATAGTGTATACATAGCTTTGTATAATCTCAGTATAAGACTGTTTAAGATTGTATAGCCTTGTATAAATATGTATACCTCTGTATAATAGTGTATAAATTTCTATATTTAAAAAATCTGGTAGTGATGGTTGTTCTGTTTTATTTCTTGTCTCAGCACTTGGATGTCCTCTTTTATTATTTGAGGAAGAGGGGAAAATATGGGCCGAGTGTTGCCATGCGGTTTACTACAACCAACTTTGCCTTTGGTAACAAAATCAACTCCCTATACAAAGATTTCAAAGTGAATCAAGATCCTTCAGTGATTCCTGACGGGCATGAGATAGAAGAGTACATCAGAGGTTATTATTGTGATGCAAATGTCCCGTGGCACACTGTTGACCACGTCTTATTCCCTATCTTTGTGAAGCGCGGAAGAGCAAAATTGGGACATTGGGTTTTGGGGGTGTTTACGTTCGTAGATAGATGCATCCACATCTATGACTCTAACCGTGGGGCTCTTAATGATAGACTTGTTTTGGATGCTGCATTACCTTATGCAATTCTGATACCTTACTTCTTGAAGAGTTCTGATTTTTATGTCGAGAAGAAGGGCATTGATTGGAACAATGGTGCATATACCGATAAATCCCATTCTGATGCTTTGCAGATTAATCTGGTTAATAATGTTCCCCAACAGATCAAATGGTAGGTTAATCTCAATTGTTTTACTATTTTACTATTAGTGTACCTATTTGAATCTGATTCGTTTCTTTTTAATTACAGTGATTGTGGTGCTTTTGTTGCTGGCTTTGCTGAGTATTTCATCCTTGGTAAAGAAATTCGAAAGGATAATTTTGACATTGAGACACTTCGCACCAGGTGGGGATCTCTGTTATGGGATTATGGAAGGAAAAAACAACAGTCTGGTGCAATTAGTGATGATGAAGTCACAGGGAGACTTTTGAAGAAGAGGAAGAGGGGGCGACCAAGAAAGTAGTTCTGTTATTTTCATTTTACTGTAGTTTTTCTATGTATAAGGAGTTGTTGCCTAGTTTTGTAACTATTCTGCTACTTGTGAGATAACCTTAAAGGATATTATAGATGTTTTTTTTTTATTTTTGTGTAATTTGAGGCAGTCATTACACATTGTTGCTGTGAATGAATTACATTTTAATGAATATTTTCAGTTGCTTTTGTCCTTTAACAAAGTATGTATTTTCATTATGGTTGCAGTTTTGTTAATGTAGCAGGGTTTATACATATGTATACAATAATATACATAGTTATACAAATTTATACAAACTTATACTCTCATTTATACATCTGTATACATATAATACCATTGATTGTTTGCAGTTCTGTTTTGTATTTCTACAATCTATCAATATATTTAGTACCATTAAAACCAGCAAGACACTATTATTGGATAATCAAAACATGTATAATGAAACATGTCAATTGCTTGTGAAACTTAACTACTCAACATTTGTAACTCTATTGTTTGTGAAACTTAACTACTCAACATGACAACAAATGTAATAGGAAGTGTTATGTTTTCAACTATCTATTTTGGTCGATTCCTACATGTTTTTCTATTGTGACCACCTTGTCCACACACAGAACATGAAAATGCCCTCTTAGACTCTTTTTCTGAAGCAGGTTTGAGTCTTTCCTTTCTTGGCCTTCCTGCATTCCTTCTCCCTTTAGGTGGTAGGACCACATCTTCCATCACCTCTGTTGGGATTACCCATAAACTCTCATCTGGCATCGGATTCACTGGAAATTCATAAGTTCTAAGGAGTTTATCCTTCTTGTAGTAAAAAGAGCAATACTGGCCAGGTTTCAGCTGCTGGTTCTTCAAAACCGCCCAAGCATGCGGACATGGAAGTTCATCCATTTGAAATTTTCCGCAACTGCATGTTCCCTCTTCAAGGCACACTATGTTTCTCCTTACCCCTTCAAGCACAGTATATAACTGATCCGTAGCAGGCCTCACCTGCAAAAGTTTTTTTAAAAAAAAAAAAGTTAAAGAACATTATACATTATTATACAGAGTTATACATCCTTATACAAGCAGTAAAATGCAAGTCAGCAGTGCCAAGCATCATTATATTTGATTCATTTTACCGTCATTTGCTCCGATGCAATCAGATTTTCCCGAAGGAGTTTGTCGTACTTTTCGCCAAGCTCTGTAGATGTCTCCATTGCACTTTTTCTGTTTTTGTTGTTCCACTGTTGTAGCAAATTTGTCATGTACTCCAGCAATCGCATTACTGGTAACTCTCTAGCATCCTTGTTTGCTGCATTAATTGACTCTGCAATATTGGAAGTCATTACCATCGACCTTTTCTCTTTGGAATATGCCCTAGACCACCTTTCGTAGCCATTTTCGAACAAGTAAGGCTGCACTCTCGGATCAATTTTGCACATCTCTGTCATATGGTACTCAAACTTCTCTATCGTGTAAGCTCTAGCCAAAGCAAAGAAGATATCCTTCAATTGTTTGTGATGTTTCTTGAATGTGCGCTTTACATTCTGCCACAAGTGAAACATGCAAATACAATGTGGTACTTCTGGGTACACAGCTTTTGTGGCATTGAAGATGCTTTCATTTCTATATGAAACTATACACATCCCTTCCCTAACTCCAAAAGTACACTTTATCTGGACAAAGAACCACTCCTAAGATTTGTTATTCTCTGAATCTACAATTGCATATGCAAGTGGAAGGATTTTTCCTGTTTATACAAAATAGATATTAGGATTCAGACAATTATACAAATCTTATACACAATTATACAATTTTATACCAACTGCAAATTTTATAAAAACAGCAGCTGTGAAATCTTATACACTTTTATATATGAAACTACAACATTATACAAACTGCAGAAACAAGGTAGATGCAGTCAACTCACCAGCTCCATCTTGTGTGCAAGCAGTCAATATGGTACCCTTATATGTTGCTTTAAGGAAACTTCCGTCAACAACCATTATCGGTCTGCAATGCTCCTAGCCCTTGATAGATGCATATAGCGAAACATATGCATAAAGCAAGCATCCATCTTCTGATTTGTGCAACTTTGTAACCGTTCCTGGATTTGTTTGCTCCAGCATATAAAAATACTTCGGCAACTCCTTATATGAATCACTCGGACCCCTTCTTATCATTGCTATTGCTATCTCTTTAGCTCTCCATGCTTTCATGTAGCTCACTTCAATCCTGTGTTGCTTTTGTATGTCCTCTATTATATCATTTGCGGTGTAAAATTTTTTTGGATTAACATACTTGTCCTTGACTATACTAGCAATTACACCCGAAGTAGCTTGACGTTGTGTTAAGTATCTTTCACCATAGCCGCATGTGTGATTATTATTGTAACTTCTCACTTTGAATATGTTTGCCTTGAAAACGGCAGAAGATTTGAAACTCCAAGCACAATTGTCATCCATACACATAAGGTGATACCTAGGATTAAAAATCATTCAACTTCTAAATACACTTGTATACAAAAACATAACTACATATATACTAATTTTAATACCTATATACAAATATATACTACTTTATACATATATATAACAGAATATACAATTATTTACATACCATGTTGCGCTTGATCTCTTCACCTTGAATTGGAACCTCTCCCGTACAGCCAATGTCACGACCCCAAACTCGATCGCGATGGCGCCCAACACTAAGGCTAGGCAAGCCCGACCATTTACTCTCTCAACCCGAGCACAAAGCTCAAACCAATTAATCAGATACTTAAAATCAAATATTAATACTCATAGTTGAAATACTCAATTAAAACAATACGAAACACTGACATAAACTGTAACTCCCAAAGACCTGGGGTCATGAGTCTAGAGCCTCTAACTAATACAGAGTCAAGAATCCTCAAAATAAGTATGTTCTATAGTACGGAAATAATAAAGGGATAAGGGAGGAGTCGGGTCCTGCGGACGTCATAGCAGCTACCTCGACCACTCCTAGAACTCTGGAAACCAGCGGCTAGCTCAACTAAGCTCCCGAAGTACCTAAATCCGCACACAAGGTGCAGGGATTAGGGGGTGAGTACTACCAACTCAGTGAGTAATAAGCATATAAAATGTCTGAAGATAAGAAATCCACGAAATGCCACAAAGCAAAGCTAAAACTAACAGTCCGACACCTTACTACGAACCAACAGCAAAACAACTTCAAATATAACAGTCAAGTAAAATGTAAGGATGCAATGCAATGCACATGAACACGCTGTGGCATACAACCCGATCCATTTAACGTCGACGGCGCTCACTGGGGGTGTGTACAGACTCCGGAGGGGCTCCTTCAGCCCAAGCGCAAAATAATCATACCATTCGCTGCGGCGTGCAGCCCGATCCATACTCAGTCCATAATATGCATATGAGTCACGTAACAGATTCAATTAATTTCCCAATTTCCAATTTATTAAGAAGAATATACTTTAGATATTTAACTTCAGGAAAAGTGACTTAGCATTTCATAACAGTGATTAAACACAGGACTGAGATCAATGATTATACAAAGCATGCTATCACAATGACATTCATCCTCTAAGGATGCTACAGATCGGCACAAGGCCCCAAACACGGCAATAAGCCCAGATATATTCAATACAGGGTGCGTATCAGTCGCCAATATAGAAACATTCTTGTTCGGGATGGACCAAGTCACAATCCCCAGTCATAACCAATCCCGCACCTGCCATGGGGTGCGAGTCACGCCCTACAATAGCGTCACAATGTGATAAGCCGGGGTTTCAAACCCTCAGGCCATCATATACACCAACTACTCACCTCTAACCGGCCGTAGAATGGTCCGCAATGCCTTTTCCTTTCGTATCGACCTCCTCGCGCGTCGAATCTAGTCAAAATCACAACGAATACATAAATATGGGTTAAAGAAACATAACCCAATCAAAAATACTCGAAAAGTAATAAAATTCACGAAGTTGGTAAAACCCGAGCCCCGGGCCCACTTCTCGAAAAATTCCAAAAATCACACCAACGGATTCCTCGTCTCGCCACGAGTCCGTGCATATAAAGTTTACCAAAATCGGAGCTCGTTTGACTCTCCAAATTCCATTTTTACATCACAGCTTTCCAAGCCCTAGACTTGACCCGTTTTTGATGAAATTCTACTGATTTCTATGTAAATGTACCATAAACTCGAGTAATTAGGCCAAGAGACTTACCTCCAAGTGATTCTCAGTCAAAACCCTCGAATTTCCTTGTTCAAAGCTCTTAAGAACGTCAACAATGGAGGAAAAATATGAAAGGGTCGCGGATGAAATATTATTTTAAAACCCTTCTGCAATTTTCGCTTCTGCAGTCCCGTAACCGCTTATGCGGGACCGCTTCTGCGGCCATATGACCGCTTACGCGGTTTTTCATTAAA